GTGACACAAATATTAAGTTGTTCGGTCATAAAATTACATACTGTTGCTGGCCAATTATATGTTGTAAAAGATTCTACATTCTCATAAATAGAGGACAACACTTTTGACATTCTGAAGTTACTTGAAGAAAAAAGAAAATTTGACATTAAAACTTTTATTAATAATTTCAAAAGGTTATTCGAGGACTCCCCTGGTGTATAGTTCAAAAGTGCGGTTTTTATTTGTCTCGCATCAGTATTAGCTGGCGGGGTATTACTTCAGTATGCAGGTAACCCTCTATTTGACATGCATATCAGGAGTGCAACTTTGTCTGCATAAAATATGAGCTCTTACCCTCCGAAGTTGAATGTCATTTGATCAATATTCCAACAATTTATTATGTGCATTGTCAGAATGTGATCTTGAGGGTGCGGAGGGAATTCAAAAAACTGAGCTAAACCAATGGTTTCCAATTTATTCCATGTTTCCTCATCCGCTGATGATCGAAACCTTATCAATGACTTCTCGTACTGCAGACGGATGACACCTACAGTTCGTTGATTTTGCGCTAAAAAAACTATAATAATGCATCATAATAGTTTAAGATCCAATTAAAATACAAATGATGATAAAAAGGGTGAAATTTAAAAATAAGACATAACAAAATAACCAAGCTTCAGGGATTTGAAATCAAAACCTAAAAAATACCTAGATTCAATATCCTTCTTCTCCTTACGACCGTCCTTAACCATTTGTGGTGCCTCCTCGCATTCAGGCTTCTCAGCCTCTCCTAAGTCCGCGACAGTGGCCTCTTCTAAATCTGTATTCGTAGTCTCGGTGATGTCCTCTTCTATTTTTGTGTTCATTACAAAAGCAATCCAAACTACAGTGCCCTAACCTTCAAAGGAAGACGACGAAGGAAAACCCTAACACGCGTGAATGCCTGTTTTTCGAAAATGAAAAGTTACTGTATGTTTTCAAACTTTTAACAAGGTTATAAAACACTATTTTTGGAGGTTATACAAATGTTACAATTCGTAATTAAGAGGTTACAAAAGAATTATAATCACGGTTCCACTGCGACGACGTTACAGGGAAGTTTCATTCAGGTTACACGTGCGTATAGCGGCAATGTTACAATCGGGTTACAATGAAATTACAAACGCGTTACATAGGAGATTACCGTGGAAGGTATAGTATAGGTACAACGCCGTTACAAGAGCGTTAATACAGGATGACCTCGAGATTTAAAAAAATGGTTACATCACTAAGAAGTTTACAAGTGCTTTACGTAGCAGCAAAATTTCTTTTTATAATACTTGGCTTCTTCTTCCGATTTTGTTACAGGACGTATCGTACGCAAATTTGTTCGCTTTGTAAGTGGCATGCATGTAAAATTCTCACGAGCAGGTGAAGACGGGGAGAGAGGGGAGGGAGAGAGGTATGCTTCGGTTCTTCATCTCGAGGGCGGCCGGAAGGCAGGGACCACTCTGCACTCTCCGTCACCAGGTAGCTCTATTCCGCGACTGATCTCTTTGCCGTATCTTCTTCGTTAGATTTGATGAAATATATCAGAAAACTATTTCAATTTTTTTATTATTTTCCCCTTCGGAGTAAGCAAAAACGTTTTGTTGCTTTTCTTGGAGGCAGCGATGGATGCACGAGAGGAACAAGAAGGCGATGGGATTCGTAGCTAAGGGTTGGAGTGCCCTCCAAGAAGTCGACAGAGTGATCGACTACGCCGACCTCAACGATCCCCGTCTTATACCTCTACTCAGGGTGAGAATGTTTTTTTATTTTATTTATTTATTTTTTTGGGATGCTAATTGAGTTAATGACAAATGGTGGAATTGCAGAGAGGATTTTGTGATTTTTCTTATTATTTATCAGATTTCGCCTTCTGCTTTTAGGTGGTTTGAGTATTGGTTTTATTTAGATTATTGCCCGTTTTTGGTGTCTCTGATTTATTTAAGTGAGAAGAAGATTAAACAATGGCATTTTTAAGCTTAACTCCTTCTGAATTTGGTTATTATATCATGGATCATCATTTTGATGTCTGCAGAGCTGCTGTCGGCTCAAAATCAGGCAGAAAAAAATTAATCCAAAATGTTGACTCATTGATCCTCAAATCAATGAGTGATTAACGATCTTTAAGTAAATTCACTAAATTCACAACCCTAACATCACAAGGGCTGTTAGAAATCAGATTTTGACCTGACACTCGGCTCGAAATCAGCTTGAATAAGATTAGATTCAAAATTTTGGCTCGTAGCTTTGTTCACTTATTTCGATTCGATCTTGATCCGAGTCAATATTTGAATCAATTTTCGAGCACTTAATGTTCTTCGAGCCATATTCACAACCCTATATGTGCCTCACATAAGGTGCCTCACATTCAAGAAGTTCTATTTGGTAAAGAAATGAAATAAAATGCCCCATCTTGTTTTTCTTTTGTCAAATCAAACCCTTGTCATCTCATCAATGAACTGCCTCCAATTGAAAACTTCTGGAAAAATTTTTGGTTTAGTTGTTGCGATTATAACCTTACCTCACCTTTATCTAGTATATTTCTTCTTGCGATTTTAATTTTTGATGAAACTCGTGCTTTGAATCTTATTTAGCAAATGATCATGTTTTTTAAACAGGTTTCACCCTATGTAGTACATGTTTTATGAAAGCTTGATCCTAGTACCTAATTGAATTATAGTTGGGGCATTTACATACATACCATTCAATTCCTATGTGTTTACATATCGAGCATTTAAACTTAACTTATTGCATTTTTACCCCCCAAATCTTTTTTTATCACATAAAAATATCTTAACTTTTAAAAAGTGGAATACATTTTTTCTTGCATAAATCAGGCGGCATATATGTAAAAATTGGAGTTTAGGTGTTAGATATATAAATGCATGGGAATTTAGTGGTATGTATGTAAATCTTATAGTTTGCTAAAATAAACATTTAAAGGATCAGCTCCCAAAAAGGGGAAAAAATCCATGGCTTTTAAAATTGTTGAAGAACTTAAGCAAAGTATGTAGACTTTTGATTGTTAACAGACTGCGAAGGATAACTTTGAGCTGGCTTTGGAGGTTGACAATATGAATACTCATGCGAGGTATTGGTTGAGCAGGATGCACTTCAAATATCATGTTCCTGGTGCTTGCAAACTCATGTGAGTACGAAGCCATATTTGTTGGTAAAGACTGAAACCAATGTCTAATGGGCAATGAATTTTTTCCATTGTTTGCTGTTTTTTATCATTTAAGCTGGATGATAACAGGTAATTATATAATTTAGAACTATTTTATGGGTTTTTAACCACCACACATTGTTTTATTCTTTATATAGATTTCTCAGTTCACTAGGAGAGCTATAACAATCTGTTATTTTCAAGGAAGATTTACATGCATACCACTTAATTCTTATGTATTTAACTATTTATATATCTAATACCTAAATTTATTTTTATACAGTTATACCGCCCAAATCCTTCATGTCACATAAAAAATACCACCGTTTTCGCTTTTAAAAAGTGAAATGCACATTTTCATGCATAGGTAAGGTGGTATGTATGTAAAAAATTATGATTAGTTGTTAATTATGTAAGCATGGGAATTGAGTGGTATACGTGCAAATCTTCCTATTTTTAAATATCCCTATTCTGGCTCAGAGATTCCAAAGCATATCATTTATTTTCATCACTTTAAAGCGCTTATCAAGGAAATTTGAGTACTTCCTTTTATTTTCACCATGACACTACAACTTTTTTATCTGCCTATATTATTGTTTTTCATGTTTGTGTACTTTACATGTTTTTTAGAGTTGGAGAATGGCTTACTATGATTTCTCTATAGATCTTAATGACCTTTATACAAATTTTTGAGGTTATTAGGTATAAGATCAAATATTTAAACTTGTTTTTTTTCTTATCAATTTGGAAAGAATGGTTAAACTGAGTTGGTAGGCTGAACTTTGAGTTAATTAGGTTGAATCAGTCTAGGGCTTGAAGGATTGGAGTCATGCAGACTTGAAACTTGAGTTGAGAGTAGATTTTCTTGAATTTTTTATTTCCAAGTTGTTTGACTGTATGCTTATATGATTTCATAGAATCAAGTTGGTTCATCCGCCGAATAGAGAAGTTGGTGTTTGGACAGGTTAAATTTTGTTTAAGATTAACTCTAAGGCTGAATGAGTTTTAAAATTAGTTAGGCAGCAAGTGTACCAAACAAGTCTTGGAGTATACCTTTTTATCATATTTATTCTTGTTCAAACGTTTTTGCCTCTTTAATTTACAAGTAAGTTCTTTAATTTTCATATAGTTTGAGTGTATTTTATATGAACATTTTTTTTAAAATGAGTTTAGTTGGGACTGATTTGAGCTCGACTTTATTAACTCATCTATCTCTGCTCGCAAGCTACTTATGGAGGCGAGACTGAGCCAGCCCTCGAGTCTGCTTGGCTCAGTTGCTCCTCTAATTGTGGGAAAATATTTGCGTACATAAGACGTACGTAGCGCTGCGTACGTCAGGGGCTATTCAGGGAGTACAGGGGGGTTATATCCGGGTTCTACCCCCCTGTAACCTCCGTGTAACTCCCTTGTAACCTCTGTGTAACTTATTTGTACCCATGAAATTACAGAAGCGCGGAACTCATTTGCAGGTTACAGGTAGTTTACAAAGAGGTTACAGGGGGGTTACAACGGGGTATAACCCCGATATAACCCCCCTGTACCTCTGAATAACCCCTAGACGTGCGTAGCGCTGCGTACGTCTTATGTACGCAAATATTTTCCCTAATTGTGACCATAGGTTTTCTACTCCACGAAGACAACAAAGGCGTGTTTTATTCTTCAAATACCTGCAGAAATTCTCTTGTTAGGTGTCATCTATTTGTAGGTAGCACCTTGAGACTAGACTTTGGTTGTGTAACTTCAAGGTTTTCTTCATCTTGAGGAAATTTAATGCATATGTTCATTGGATGCATTATGAATCAGTTCCTATTAGATTTGTGGTTTACACTTTTACTGCTTGCCCCCTGCCATGGGCTTTAGAGAGGATACGTGAGGAAATAAATGAGATGGTAGAAATGGCCTGATAGGTTTCAACTAAGGACAATTCCTTGTCATCTTCTCATGCTGCATTTACGTTGAGCTTATTCATGGAAAAAATAAGCCTAATGTATTACCTTTTAGGATGATAGTAGTTCTCCAAATTTTGATGACTTTTTGTGTACTGATTTTTTTTTTATTCGTTTGCTTAACTGACTCCTTAGGTTCCTCCGACAAGAATGGAATAGGCTGCCTCTTGTATTGAGAAGAATGAGACTAAGTTGCAATTTGCGTGATTACAACTTCTGGATGAAAGCATTCAGATGTTCGCTTGCTTGCGTGATTACAACTTCCGGATGAAAGCATCAGATGTTCGCTCGCTTTTAATGAGCAGGCGCTCAATCAGAGATTTTGATGAATGCTCGAAAAGCCTTAGAGAGACTTTAATATGTTTTGTTATTTTCTTCAAAACAATTATCTCTCAATTTTCACTTCAGGCTGGCTTTGCTACTGAAATTATATTGGCTTGGAAGGTTTGGGAGAGGAAACTATATACTCTTAGGAGATCAAGTTTACTATTAACACTGTTACATAGCATAAATTTTTCATCTCTTTACTTCTTCTCATGCCAATCATCGAAGATGCGACAATCTTCAATAGAATGACTAATTGCTTGATGATACAAACAATGATTATAGAAATTCATCTAATCAATCTCTCTGAGCTTTTTTGACTTCGACGATCAGGGACTGGCACAAGTGTCTACCAAAATAATTTTGTCACGTTATCTTTGAGATAATTTGACAATTATTTTGGTAACACTTAAGTTGGTCTTAAGTCCGGATGCAAAAAGTAGAGGGTTGCGTTAGGTAGTCAACAGACATCTTAAAAATTGTTTTAAAACTATAACATAATTCATTCAAATCATTGTGTCAATGCTAGGGCGTCTCTTGGAAGACACGCGTTGTATTGTCTGAATATAGTAAAAAATGTGCAAGTGTCGTCACGCCGACATCCGGGTTTAATGTTAAATAAGCAAGTGTTCTTATATTATGGATAGATGCGGACAAAAAATTTATACATGAATTAATGTTATGATAGGAATATAGAATATAGGTTCTCTCACAAATAAATTAATAAAATTGGTTGATATTATAATTCATTGAAGATAAATATTTTAGATATTCATGAAACAAAATGAATCGGAGAAAAAGCTAAGGAGATTAATAACTTAGGTTTTAATTTTTTTTATTCTTGTAGAAGTCGTACTAGAAATAATGTAGGCGTAAGTATTGATAAGAGTTTGAAAAATAATGTTGTAAAAATTAATAGAATTTGAGATAGATCTTCAAAGATTATTATGGATACTAAGATTCTTAATGTTATAAGCACTAGTGCTCCACAAGTAGGTTTGGATGTATATTCCAAAGACAAATTTTAGAATAACCCAGAAGAATTACTACATATGATACTTCTCAAAGAAAGAATTTTTATTGGAAAGGATTTAAGGCGACATGTTAGTCGAGTGCTAGAAAATTTTAAAAGTATTCATGGTGGCTATGATTTTAGAGTGGCCAATGAAGAAAATAACGACACATTGGATTTAGGTTTAGCTTATGATTTAGGTTTAACTTTTTTTTCTGCCTATATTATTGTTTTTCTTGTTTGTGTACTTTACATGTTTCTTAGAATTGGAGAATGGCTCAGTGTGATTCTCTATAGATCTTAATAACCTTTGTGCAAATTTTTGAGGTTACTAGGTATAAGATCAAATATTTAAACTTGTTTTTTCTTAATGACCTGGCTCATTGTGATTCTCTATAGATCTTAATGACCTTTGTGCAAATTTTTGAGGTTACTAGGTATAAGATCAAATATTTAAACTTGTTTTTTCTCTTATCAATTTGGAAAGAATGGCTAAGCTGAGTTAGTAGGCTGAACTTTGAGTTAATTAGGTTGAATTAGTCTAGTGCTTGAAGGATTAAAGTCGTGTAGATTTGAAACTTGAGTTGAGAGTAGGTTTTCTCGAATTTTTATTTCCAAGTTATTTGGCTGTATGCTTATATGATTTCATAGAATCAAGTTGATACATTCACCGAATAGAGAAGTTTTATTTCCAATTGATACTTCTCAAAGAAATAATTTTTATTGGAAAGGATTTAAAGCGACAACTTAGTCGAGTGCTAGAAAATTTTAAAAATATTCATGGTGACTATGATTTTAGAGTGGCTAATAAAGAAAATAACGACACATTGGATTTAGGTTTAGCTTATGATTTTATTGTTGCTAATATTTTATTTAAAAAATAAATGATTTAATGAAACGCAAATTCATTATTTTTTTATGAGAAAAATATATCGTCGAGATTATAAATATTGTAAGGTCATTCTAAGAAAAAAATTAAATATCCAATATCAATTATTAGTTTTGAATTTTAACATGAAGAGTTAGAAGATGAAAAATATAATGAAATATTATCATAGAATTTGATTGGGCACTTAAAAGACATAAATAAAATTATTTTTGTGTAAATTTTTAAGATTTTAAGAGTTGAAATGTTCATAAAAAAGTTGATATTATGTGAGATAAAGTAACAAGTATTATTAAGTTGCAAAAGATGTATTTTGGGGAAATAAAAAAGAAAAGTTCTTATGAATAAAATAGTTTGTGGTGGATAATACTATGCAAAAGATAAAAAAAAAAGAAGTTTTGTTATAAAAATTGATTTAAATATCAAGTTTGAAAAAGTTTGAAATATATAAGGTGGTTTGTATATAGTTTAAGAAAATAATTTAGGATATTTAGAAGTTTATTTTTAATGAGATTTATTGTAGAATATATATTAAAAATAGTGAAAGATATATGTATAAAGTATAAACTAGCTAAGCAAGGGGATAAAAAAATAAAGATTTAGTTCAGGTAAAATGTATTTAAGATAATTATAAAAAATTACCTTTTTAGATAATGATATTCAACATTGGTGGGAGAAATGTTTTGATAATCTTTTCAATAAATTTTGTGAAAATACGATCGATTTTAATTTTCTTTTTATCATAAATAATAAGATTTTTTTTATTATTTTCATCATCACATTAGTGCAAAAGCTGGTGAGGCTTTCAAGTGAA